ATACATACATACATACATACACATATAATATAATATATTTCATTTATTCCTGCATTCTAATATACTAATTTAGTGCTCAATAAATATTTTGTCGTCTTATTAAAAATAATAAAAACTGCTTAATATTTTTGTGGAAACTTATTTATTTTTATTTGTTTGAAGGTTAAAAAAACAGCATTTATTTGAATTAAGAAATCTTTTGTGACGTTATAAATGTCTTTACTGTCACTTTTGATAAAGTTAATGCATCCTTGCTTAATAACGAGTGAATGAATTATACTGTTGAAAAGTTTGGGTCAGTATGACTTTTTAAAAATAAATTAATACTTAATTTATTTTTAAAAAGTCATACTGACCCAAACTTTTCAACAGTATCGATCATACATTCATTCATTCATTCATTCATTTGCTTCGTCGATGAAGAAAGCAGTGCAGGAATGAAAACCAGACAACTGGTCGCATATTAAAAAACCAAGTACATACTAAAACTAGTAATCCAACTCTCATAGTTTCTCCAGTGTTGTGACCACATTCTCCTCTCATGTAGGTATGCTGGATTGGGGCCCACGGTCATTGTATGTCCAGCTACAGTCATGCATCAGTGGGTGAAGGAGTTCCACACTTGGTGGCCTCCATTCCGTGTTGCTGTCCTCCACGACACGGGCTCCTTCACCAGCAAAAAGGTGATTCACACTCTGCTGGAGCTGAGAACATCCATTCTTTGGACTTCCATAATGTAACCTGTTTTGTTATGCTCTGTCTCAACACCCAAACTTTTCCATCCAAAGAAGCAACATGACAACAAGATTAAGATGAACTGTGTCGCTTCGGCCTGTAACGTTTATGCCAGCGTGAGATTTTCCCCTTGTCAGCAAAATATCCTAGTGTGTGGAGTCGAATTGGCTCCAAGGAAATGTTAAATTAATTAAAGCTAAGGTAGCAGGAGCTGCTGTGGGGCGGCTGTGAAGTGTTTACTGTGAGTGGTCTTCACTGCCCCCTCCCCATTCTGCCTGACACAGTGATTAATGGGGGTTGTTGTCTGGCAGTCCATGCTTTGCCCTCTAGGTGGAGAGTTGGTCTCAAGAGCTTGTGGGAGAGAGACAGAGGAACGTTTATGCAGCGTTGGCACCTAATGATACCGCCTTCACGCTAACACTAACACTCCTGTAGAGCAGATGTACCTGATTAATTGGCTACAAAGTAAAAAAAAAAGTGTGGAGGGGGGGCTGGGAACAGAGGTTAGTCGCTTTGCACGTCTATAATTGGAACACACTTGAGACCGTTCATGTGAGACATCAAAGCAGACGTATAGACTAGTTCTGATGAAGACGCTATCGCCAGGGGCCTGATACCGGCAACCTATCGCAATTTCCTCTATTTAATTAACAGCCAAAAAAGACATTGTTGTGCTAGTGAGTTTACTTTCTGTTAGGTTTTACTCCTTTATTCCTCATTTTCAGGAGAAGCTCATCCCGGAAATAGTGGCCAGTCATGGCATCCTCATCACTTCCTACTCATACATCCGCATTATGCAAGATTACATCCAGAAGTACGACTGGCATTATGTCATCCTGGATGAGGGCCACAAAATTAGGAACCCCAATGCCGGGGTTACTATGGCATGCAAGCAGGTGACCGTTGCTTTCTCTATAAGAGACTTTTCCTTCATTTTATAATCAAGCTGTCAATTAAAGTCTCATGGGTCTTGAAAAGAACACTAGTAAAGGTAGTAGACCTTTAAAAAAAAAGAAGACCTTAAAAGAAATGATCTTAGTTCTAGCTCCAGTGCTATTGATTGCTATATTAAAAAATCAATTGGAAATTTCGCAACACTTTGATTTGGAATTAAATGAACTGAAGCTAATGGAGCTTTAAAACCAAATTCATCATAAAAGGGGCTTTATTGTCAAGTAGTATTTAACTGCTTGCACAGGTAAGGTCTAAAACAACTTTGATTACTTGATCAACTTGCGTCTCGTAAATTATGAAGGATTGTCACTGATTTTTATTTATTTATTTTTTTCAGTTCCGGACACCCCACCGTTTTATCCTCTCTGGCTCACCCATGCAGAACAACCTCAAAGAGCTGTGGTCGCTTTTTGACTTTGTGTTTCCAGGGAAGCTGGGGACTCTGCCTGTCTTCATGGAGCAGTTCTCCGTACCCATAACCATGGGAGGATACGCTAATGCGTCTCCAGTGCAGGTGAACCACTCATCACCCAGAGCTTATTGATCAATGCAGTTCAAATTCTCTTCTTATTCATATATAAACCTATAATTTACACCAAATATAACAGCATAATGAACGCAGAACACATTGTATATTACACAGAGATGCAAGTGCCTGTATTAATTCAAAGGCATATAAAAACATTCTAACAGCACAGTGATGGCTGTATGGTGAATGGAATCTAGATGTGCCATTATTAGGAAACCTTTTTAATAGCACACTTACTTTATGGATTTCATTTCCGAACTGCTTTAAAAGGCTATTGATGTTTCCTCTGCCAATAATAAAAACCTTTACTAATTATTAATGTTATTAAATGGTTGTAGATAGCTAACCCCTGACTCATGGCACTCTCTCCTTTCCCAGCTGTCTGCACAGTCCTGCTGACCAGCCTCATACGTTCAGTTTTTAGTGGATATTCATTTGAGAGATGAGAGAAGATTTTACAATCTTGCAATTAGAATTTACACTTTATGCAGTATGTATTTCTTTCCACCAAAAATATATACATGAAAATGAACTAACATCCATCCAGTGCACTAATTAAAATCACTTTGCATTTTCATGTATGTATGTGTGTGCGTTTGTGAAATGTTCTGAGTCTACTTTAAAAAAACTGGGTTTCAGAATTAAAATCCAGAGATTAAAAATGAAACCTTTTGGATTTTAAGATTTTTTTTTTATATAATTAAGATTTTCCTTTTATAATTATGCATGCCGCTTTTAACAACTTTATATACAGAGGAACTACATGTAATATTTGTACTTGTAAAAATTAATTTGTTATATTGCTGGACCATTTAAAATGAAATTGTGGAGTGAAAGGTTTTCTTTTAATTGTTTAAAAAAAAAAAATTTGATGCCTTACAAGTCCAGAAGGAAGGAAAGTTTTAAGCACTTTTGCAGCCAGCTCCTTTACTGAAGCATATGCTTTATCACTACTTATTCACGTATCTCTCTCTCTGTATCTCTCTCTCTTTTGTCCTCTCAAATGGGCCCTAATCCAGGCTTGTTGTATGCCCTGCAGTGTTGTGGTTCAACTGCAGGCTTTCTTTTGATCTGAAAACCCCTTTAAATTACAGCTAAATTCTTTACCTGACAAAAATGAACAGGTGCCCATACAATACATATAACAGATAAATCTATACTCCACTATTTGTCTGTGTATCTTGCATTTAGTAACTTGCATTTCAGACACAGTTTGGCCAGTTATTTTGTAACTCTGTTTTCTCTAAAAATAGTTCTAAATGAAGCCAGAGCATCAAGCTTTGTCACCAAGCAATTCTAGATGATCAGAAAGATGCAAACATTGAAACTTCCTAATGTTGTTTTAACTGTTGAATAATAAAATATACTGTATGTTGCCTTTCATCCAATCATCAACAGTTACAGCCTATAATGTTTTACTGTCTGAACAGGTCCTGTTCTGCAGATTAACGGAAGATCAGCGGCAGGTTTACCAGAATTTTCTGGACTCCAAAGAGGTTTATCAGATTCTGAATGGAGACATGCAGGTAATAGATCTATGCGTAAAACAGCAATGTTGATCATTTTCTGTTTCCCACTTATTCTTTAACCTGTCTTTTGAGAGCAGTGACATGCTGTAACGTTATATGTTCACATACATGTTTAAATTCATGCAGAGAGAAACATTTAAAGAACTTCTGGAATTTGCGTTTTGCTAATTTAAACCTCAAAGTCAAGTTTAACCATTAAAAAAAAAAAAAGATTTAAGGCATTTTTTCTGGTAAAATTCATAAGATTAAAAAAAATGTGCGGCTGTCATTAAAGCAAAAGTGAGTCCAACTGTACAAATACTCACTTTACTAACTTTTCATGCATTTGTTATGCTGATTATGCCAATGTGTAATGAAAAAAACTGTTAAATTAGAAAACTGTAAAAGTGGACTTTGAACTTCACTTTATATTCATAATATGTGTACAGATACATTTTCTTTACTGATAATTACCTTGTCACAAGCATGCAGAATCTGTTTCATTGATAAATGTTGTGTCGGCCTTATACAGCTGTGAAGATGCTTGTTGCATTAAAAAAACAGTCCCTGTGATCTATTGATTCTCTCGGTGTGTGAATTGTCACAGCAAGGAGATGCTCCTTTATACAAACTATTCATCACAATGCTCCAAATGTGTTTTGTGGAGGCAAAAGCTGTGGGTTGCAGAGCAGTTTACAAACCCCGCTTATGTGGTCACAAACTCCATTAAGCCACATATATAATGCAAAGACTGCTGCATTTACTTCAAGGAAGAGACTTTACTTTGCTCTGGTCAATTACCTTCATTAAATTAACCAGGTTTATTAATATTAAGATTTGTGTTTCCTATTTCTTACAAGGAAAGAGAATTGTTTTTCTCCCTCCATTAAATGTATTAACATATCCACCCGGTGTATTAATCTCAATTCCCCACCCTGTGGTTCTAGGTTTTCTCAGGCCTCATAGCTCTGAGGAAGATCTGCAACCACCCGGATCTATTCACAGGCGGGCCGCGGTTGCTCCGAGGCATCCCTGACGATCAGCTGACCGAGGAGGAGCACTTTGGTTACTGGAAACGCTCTGGGAAGATGATTGTGGTGGAGTCACTGCTGCGCCTGTGGTTCAAACAGGGACACAGAGTTTTGCTTTTCACCCAATCCAGGCAGGTCAGTAAGAAAGGAGTGCAAAAAAAGGCTAGAAAAAATTTCGCAGGACGGCAATGATATGATTGAATATGGTTGATTCTAGACAAATCCATCCACAGAGATCCATCAGCCCTTCGCTGAAGTAAAGATGTGCGAATAAACCAACAGTATTGATGGATAAGCTGCACTCTCACTATCTCCAGCAGCACCACTAAAGGACCAATAAAGTTATTATGTCATTTTGCCCTCTAATAGAATTCATTAGGAGATCTTATTGCATTGTAGGGTGTCTGTCAGGACCCAGCTGTCTTTGTTCAATAGAAATGAGATTTGGCTTCAGAGAGAACCTAAAACCCACACAGTTGGTACTTCTGTACATGTAATATTAATCTCACTTAATCCTATTAGCACTAATCCTGTTCTCAATGCTCTGTCTGAAACCATTTCTCCCACACACACAGATGCTGGAGATCTTGGAGGTGTTCGTGAGGGAGAATGGCTTCTCGTATGTCAAAATGGATGGCACTACTACCATTGCGTCCAGGCAGCCTCTGATCACTCAGTACAACCAGGTGAACATGATCACCGTGCCTGTTTTACGCTCTCTGTGATGGTTTAGGAGCTTTTAAACCAAATTATTTTAATGTGTGTGCTTTTCCAGAACAAAGACATCTTCATCTTCCTCCTGACAACAAGAGTTGGAGGTTTGGGAGTCAATCTGACTGGAGCCAATAGGGTTGTAATCTACGACCCTGACTGGAACCCCAGCACGGACACTCAGGTCAGCTAAAGCAGTATCTCGCATCCAGAACGCATGTTCTTGCTGTATATCTAATGCAAACTATTCATCTTAAAGTATGCATGCAGCGTTGATCGTTATTGATGTGAACTATTGACCTCTTCCCGTAGGCTCGTGAGCGTGCCTGGAGGATTGGGCAGAAGCAGCAGGTGACTGTTTACAGGCTGCTGACAGCTGGAACAATTGAGGAGAAGATTTACCACAGGTTAGTTTCCTAGGATTGGGCACTGAGATGGAGCTTATAATAGTAAGGAGGACTATTATAATCCATAATGTCCTACTTCTGTCTGCAGGAGCTCAATAGACAGTAATTGAAATGCATTATTTTTTTAATTAGATATCAACACGATTTGCTAATTGGTCGCTAAAGGCTGTCATAGACTAGTGGGTTATTTGTAGGGAGGCGATGGGAATTTCGAAAGGACTGTGAAGAGCAGGATTGTTTGCATATTAATTTTGCAATTTCGAGCTAACCTGAGACACTATGCATTTGTTGAGCAGATAAACCATCCAGCAGGGTGAGATTGTGGCATATCTGTTTAGGCTATAAAGGAAATAATTCAGGAAATGTGGGACTAGGGTGTATCATAACGATGATTTAAAAAAAAAAAAAGTACAGTATTTCTTGTCTCTTTCCATAGACAAATTTTCAAACAGTTTCTCACCAACCGAGTGCTAAAGGATCCTAAGCAGAGGCGGTTTTTCAAGTCTAATGACATTTATGAACTTTTCACACTGAGCAATCCTGACGGCTCCCAGGGAACAGAAACCAGTGCAATATTTGCAGGTAATTCATGGATATATTAACAATTTGAACGTATTTTCTTTGCAAGAACAGCTCTGTTCATTTGGCTGATGTCACAAAGAGAACATGTGCTGAAATCAGGCAATGTAAATACAATTTTAAAACATTTTATTGGTACACTGTCAGAAAAAAATGCTTTTCACTGGGGCAGTACCCTTAAAGAGACAACTTTTTACCTCAAATACCCCAAAAAGATGCTTATTATTATCTTAAAGTAGTAATATGAGCCCTTAAGTTACTACATTTAACCATTTAGGGATAAATAAAATAAAAAGTTGATCTTTGCACCAGTGACAAGCAGTTTTACCCCTGAAGGTACAGTTTTAGCACTTTTTTGTTTCCCGAAAGTGTAGATAAATAACTCTAATAAATTATGTTGTCTTTTTTCTTATTTTATAGGCACAGGGTCAGATGTGCAGGTTCCAAAAAGACACAAGACCTCCCGTCCTTCTCAGGGGAGCTCGAGACCATCATTGTCTCATTCATCTGCATTTTGTGTTGAAGACCAAGATACAACATCTCTGTCAGAAAACAGAAACTCTACCTCAGTCAACGGTCTGTCAAACAACAATGCTTCTGGGTCACAGAACAATAACCTTGAACCTCATTCCACTGCTGATCGTTTGACAAACAGCACTAGTAAAGATCATTCTCCTGCGAACAGCCCTCAAAAGCACAGAGAGAAGAAAAAGCACTGTGAAACGCCAGAAAAGGACTTGTTACCCTCAGACAGACACAAGCGCAAGCATAAAAAGCGCAAGCACTCTGAAGACGCCAAGTTTGAGGGCTGTCGCATTTCTCACCTGTTGAAGAAACGGAGGTACAAGAAAGAGGAAAATGAGAAGGGGAAGGAGGAAAAAAATGAGAAAAAGAGTGACGATTATGTTCTCGCCAAGCTCTTTAAAAAATCAGGGATACACAGCGTCATGAAGCATGACACCATCATGGAGGCATCGAACCCGGACTATGTGCTTGTGGAAGCTGAAGCCAGTAGGGTTGCGAAGGATGCGCTGAGAGCTCTGAAGATCTCCAGGCAAAACTGCAGGCTTTCTTTCTCGAGAGGGTCTACAACAGCAACCCCACCTCCAGTCAAGTACGTCTATTTTTTTTTTGTTATATTATAAAATTGTATTAAAAATATGAGGCTGTTTTAACGTCCATTTTGCTCTTAGGAGAAGGTTTGGGCAGAAGAAAAACTCACTTCTGTCTCAGTCATCTGGGACAACAGCAAAAGCAGCAGAGAAATGCAAGGTATGTCACTATGGATACAATATCCTGTGAACCCCCAAAAGAATAATAAATGGTTATTGAGCACTCATGTTGTGTGTGTGCTTTTTTTCTTTAATATAGGATGCAGATGTTATAAAGAAGTCAGTTGTAAAGAAGCCAGGATCTGCTGCTCACTTCAGCGGTGAAGGAGCGCAGGAGGAGTCTGGTTCTCTGTCCTCATCCTCTCTCCTTGCTGGAATGAAGGCCAGGAATCACCTCAATCAACCCCAGAGACAAGAGGATGAGGAAGAGGACGAGAGAGAGTCTACTGCCGTGCATGCTACCCCCACAGAACATGATGAGCTTTTGGTTGACCTGAGGAACTTTGTGGCCTTCCAAGCTCAGGTGGATGGCCAGGCGAGCACCAAGGAGATCCTGGAGTACTTCACCCCGAGACTCACTTCCACACAAACAGCAGTGTTCAGAGAACTACTAAGGAATATTTGTGAGTTCCACAGACTTCCTGGACAGGAAGGGATGTGGAAGCTTAAAGCTGACTACAGGTAAATGGAGCGGCGCATATGAAAACTATTAGCTGAGAAGCTCCAAATGGAATGTATACCTCACACTTGGGAACACAGGTGATTCGATGCATCAGTTATTTTAAGATTATAAAGTGTAAATGCAATTAATTTCAATAAACTTCCTAGAACTTTCCAAGAACTTTCCAGGTTGGCTGTAAAAAGTACAAAAGAATTGTATTGGCCCTATTATTGTAAAACGCTCCAATTGTATGAAAAAATAAATATGATGTCATTCTTTTGTTTGTTTTTGTAAAATTCCTGGAAATTACTTGAACTTGGGGATCTCTTGAAAATGTGTTATTCATGCAATTATTGTTGAGACCAGTACTTTTTTTTTTTTTTGCTATACTGTTATAATACTTTTTCTATTCACTCAATTATTGGTACTCAGTTCTACCAATAATTTGGCAATAATGGAAAATGTACATTTTATATAGGGTTTCTACCCTATACATGTGCTTGGTGCCAATTTGTTTACATGACATTTTAGTAAGTGAAGGTGATTTTGAAACTTATAAAATCAATATTATTTAATGTCTTGAGAGTATCTACCCCTGCCTTCCTCTTACTGTTTGTTCAGTAAGAACAATTTAGATTGAATGTAATTGCAATGTGTAAAGCCAGTGATGGTGTTGAGGGAATACTGTACACATTTTAACAATTAAATTGATTCATTAAAAGTTACCCAATAAAAGATCACCCTTTACATCAACTCCTTAGTACACTTTATTAATATGACCTAGGAAATGTAATGCATCACAAGATGATGAGCCGAAAGATACACCACCTCACGGGGGCTTATTGGATCTCATTTTGAAAAGAACTATGATTTTCTGTTGTTGCACATTAATCACAATGCCATGGCCTCTCAGGGACAGGCTTTTATTTCTTGTTAATGTTCTAAGTTAATGTGTCAGAAATTAGCGTTCGTCGTATATTGTTTGTCAATGCGAGTTAGCACACGAGCAATTAAAAATAAATATTTTCAAAAATACTTCTGCTATTGTAAAACATTTTTTTAATTAGTGCTTTTGTGAAGATACTTTTCTCTTCAAACTAGAGTGAATAAATCTTTAAAGGAACTAACTGCGAAATGCTTTTTGAAATAATTTGAAATAAAAGAGTTTATTAATTTATTTCATGCTCTGTTCGAGTTTCCGACCTCGTTAAAACTTTGTATACGTTTATGCAGTCGATAATGGGCTTAGAATAATAATAATAATGTACTTATTCGTTTGTAGTCTATTAATCAAACTTTTTTTAATGCTGGACATTTGTTCGTGAGCTGTCCTGTCGCTGACCATGGTACTGAACGTTTTTATTTCCTTTTTTCTTTTTTTTTATTACGAGGCCTCATGCATTCAAAATTATTCTCTTAGTTAAAAATTAAAACCCGCAATTATTCAGTCGCACGTACACTCTAAAGACATGTTTTAAATAGAGCGTATACTGCTGTAATACACTCCCAGTCAGACTCTCAAGATCGTAGAAATCACTTGATCTATTAGGTTATATTATATCTCCGTTCCGTATAATAAGACAAATGTCAAGAAGTTATACAGAGCTCGTCCCCCAGTTTCCGATGCATTTTGACGAGATCATAACACCAACTTTATTTTCAGCGGTGCATAAATTAATTACACGCATTTAATAACTAAAATATCATTATATTCCCCTCTTAATATCATAAACGTTCTACGCCAGGGAAGCACTTAATAGTGCAGGGGGCCATAACAGGCTATTATCCTTGTGTAATGCTATTAGAGAACCAATTATGCACCATTACACTTGCTTTTTTGCAGTTTATGTGATTTCATCCAATACCGTCCTGCACTTCAAAATTTCAGCTGCTACTCGGAGCCTCATTTCCAGCAGCAGAGGAGCGGCGGTGTCTGCGCGCGGCGTCCCGCGTGCGTTTTAAAAGTAATTGAAAGGGTCCCGCTGCATATCATTTACGCGAGAGTGGGAAATAAATCCTTGGACCCCTTGCTGTGAACAAAATCAAAATTTGGACCTGCGAGCGCGCAGCCAGTGGATTCTTGTATAAAGTGGACCCCTAACCCATATAATGAGCAATTACTGGTCTGACAGCCAATTTTAAATTCAAAAACAGTCATCTAGATTTTTAATATAAAAAGCAACTGTGTAAAAAAGTGTATCGTGCTTGTGCCCGTGTGTTTGTGATTTGGGAATATGCATGCATCGGTCTAAAGTTACACTTTCGGAGTATGAATGCCTTGGAGGATTTTGACGTTTCCACCACGTGCGCAATCCGGTTGGCCGCGGAGAACCTATCCAAATGACTTGGAAAACGAAAATCTGATTAATTGCAATTACGTGGGAGATTATAAAGGCGAGTGTTGTCATGCTCTAAACAGTCACAGAGACATCTGGTCACTCCCTCCTTACGCGCGCGCAAGCGGATAAACTGAAGCGCTCAGTGATTGACGGTGGGAGTGCGATTGCTCTGTTGAGGTTGAGCTGGAGACACGAGAATCGCGATTGCATAAAGACCCTCTGTTGGTACAGATGCTTTTTTACTTTATGTACTTCAAATCGGTTGCAGAAACGTATCAGTATTGTTCAAAGTTGTCTTTTTAAGACGCATGCGATTGCAGTAATAGTTGGCGAACATCTCGCGGACGCTTGGCCATTTTTTTCTTTGCAGAGTGAAATATTCTCTCCACTCGCAAAGCACCGGGAAACATGTTTTACTTTCACTGTCCACCACAGTTAGAAGGAGAGTGCTGCAGGACCAACACATGTAAGTATGTTTCATTTCTTTTGCAAGAATGGACTTTTATCTAAAATGTTAACTTTGTAATTTTATACGTATTTCGAAAACAGAAAAAAATATTAAAACGCGTTCTGTGGCAGTTTTATAGTTCTATAATTTATCTTCATATTGTGCATTATATTTCGCAATCAAAGTTACTTAATAATTAGCCTATGTTTGGGTTTGTTTTATGGTGTGTAATGTTTTGCCACATGGCAACGTGATCGAGAGGCTTGACAGCCGCCCAGCTGAGACTTTTTGTTGCAGTCTGTCTGAGAACAGATGTTAGATGTCATGCCTTTCAACTGGCATTTTGTTGGTCACGGTTTCTCATTGTGTAAAGTGATAATTCGGGTCTCTAGCAGATGAATACAATGAATCAACTGTTCCCTGTGAATTAGTCCATCACGATTAAGTGAGAGGCAACCGATGGGAATCATATTTTCCGTCTCATTTAGGGCTATAAGAAAATGTATATTTTTATTCCATAGAAATGTTGTGTTTTAAAAGTGTTACTGTTTTAAATAGTGAACACAAATGGGTTTGGGAATCACGCCTCTGGAGACTTTGATGACGGTTTTCTGCGCAGAAAACAACGCAGAAACAGGACGACCTTCACTTTACAACAGGTATCAAGTCAGTGAGGAGCAAGATTTCCGGTGGATACAAAATAGAACCACTGTTCTCAAACTTATTTATGTTATAATGTTTTATAAACGTCCTGTGTGTGTGTGTGTGTGTGTGTGTGTTTAGACTAGGCATGCCGTGTACGTAAACATAGGCTACATTTATATATACTACATTTTTTTATATATATATATACTTCTGGAAGTAAACTTTCTATTTCATTTGTAAAGCAAAACCCAAGCATTTGCTTATTTAGGTTAACCATTAATAAGGTTACGTGTATTACAATAATGGAAAAAATGTAAGACATAAGGAAAGGCCGAAGAGTCCTGTTTCCTTTGAACAAATGTTTAATCAATTTAAACTGTCACCATAATTCCTGTTATTTGTAAGGCATTTTTTAAAAAGTAATTGAAAAGTGTTTGAAAAAGTGTAATGCCTTTTTTACCACTTCAGGCAGCAGTTAAACAATTTTAGTGCGTTTTACAGTGCACTACGCATGAACATTATTTCTTAGCAAATGCAAAAAATATAAGACAGTTCTCTCTGGTTTATAAAGCATAAATTCGTGAAATAAATGTGTAAAAATATGTTTTACAGTTGGAGGCTTTGGAGGCGGTTTTTGCACAGACCCACTATCCAGACGTGTTTACAAGAGAAGAGCTGGCTATGAAAATCAACCTAACAGAGGCTCGCGTCCAGGTGAGACACTTTTCCTCAACTGTCCTGAGCCAGAGATGTAACGAATAGCCTACATCACGGAGAGAGAGAGAAAAAAAAGCGCTCCGAGCACGTTTGGCCAAAGAGAGTAAATGAAGCCACTCTGTCACTTCCGTGATGCGCTTTAATAACATCAACATAATGTAGAATATTAGATTAGGTTGATTAATCGGTCATTCATAATTAACTAGTGGTAATGTTCTACACTCATTTGCCCTCGTCTCTAAGGTATAAAAATTGCTTAGATGCACTGCCATTTCCGTGTTTCAGCAAATGGAGAGAGGATGCGGTGCTTTTCGAACAAGACAAACGTCCCGAGAACGATTTTGCTCGGTTATAAAGCGCCCGTGCACCTGAAACCTCCGAATTCATATTCTGCGGCCTTGCAAAACATCCGCGGTAATATCAAGTTGGCCACATGTAATTGCATTCAATGTGTCTGTATGTAATTTCCTGCATTCCAGATTTGCTTTTGGGTTTCCTTCTGAGCTCCGATCTAATTGTGGGAAATATAATAGTTTCCCTTTTGTTCCCCAGGGTCATCTTACTATCGCTTAAAACCAATGACTGCGACGCGATAATGGAATTCGCTGCTGTAAATTAGGGATTGTAAACAAATTATTTCTCTCTAATCGGATTACCCGATTCCTATTATTAAATCTCAACATGAATCGGTGCTTTGGAGGCGGTTTTTGCACAGACCCACTATCCAGACGTGTTTACAAGAGAAGAGCTGGCTATGAAAATCAACCTAACAGAGGCTCGCGTCCAGGTGAGACACTTTTCCTCAACTGTCCTGAGCCAGAGATGTAACGAATAGCCTACATCACGGAGAGAGAGAGAAAAAAAAGCGCTCCGAGCACGTTTGGCCAAAGAGAGTAAATGAAGCCACTCTGTCACTTCCGTGATGCGCTTTAATAACATCAACATAATGTGGAATATTAGATTAGGTTGATTAATCGGTCATTCATAATTTACTAGTGGTAATGTTCTACACTAATTTGCCCTCGTCTCTAAGGTATAAAAATTGCTTAGATGCACTGCCATTTCCGTGTTTCAGCAAATGGAGAGAGGATGCGGTGCTTTTCGAACAAGACAAACGTCCCGAGAACGATTTTGCTCGGTTATAAAGCGCCCGTGCACCTGAAACCTCCGAATTCATATTCTGCGGCCTTGCAAAACATCCGCGGTAATATTAAATTGGCCACATGTAATTGCATTCAATGTGTCTGTATGTAATTTCCTGCATTCCAGATTTGCTTTTGGGTTTCCTTCTGAGCTCCGATCTAATTGTGGGAAATATAATAGTTTCCCTTTTGTTCCCCAGGGTCATCTTACTATCGCTTAAAACCAATGACTGCGACGCGATAATGGAATTCGCTGCTGTAAATTAGGGATTGTAAACAAATTATTTCTCTCTAATCGGATTACCCGATTCCTATTATTAAATCTCAACATGAATCGGTGGCAGCATGCAGGGATATTAAACTTACATTATTATTAGGAAATAAATTTTCTTTTTGTTGTAGTATAGTGGGCGCCCACGTTTTTAAAGTGTCAATTGGCTTGTGCTGCATTAAG